ATGAGCACCCAACAGTCACAGAGCCCATAACCAAGAGCTAGTTTCCGGAACTCCTCTTGCTGGTGAGAAAGAATGTGCCACCATTACTAATTCAAAGCAGATCCGACCTAGCTACAAACAGCTACACACATTTTCCCAGGATCCTCTACCCTTCCTTTTCCTTTTCCTCTTAAAAGGAATGCTCATGTTTATTTGTATACAAACATTCATCCCCAGCAGAATTCTACTCTAGGTCTTAAAACTGGAAGGGCACTCAAAGGCATTGAACCTAGACTCTTGCTTCCAGCCTGATAAGTTATTGCTCCATTTTACACATAATGTAGCTGAGTCTCAGAAAGTCACTTGCCCAAGGTCCTATGGATAGTAAGTGCAGAGCTCTCAGACCCAGGGCTCCTGCCTCTTAGACTCTCTTTCCCTTCATCACACTCCTCCCTCCATTTGAGATCAGAGCCCTAGAACTGGATAACAGCTCTTCATTTGCCCCTTTCTTCCCATCTCCAGCCAAGGATAGGGTTTTCTCTTACTTGATTTCATCAATATAGTTAATCCAAATGTATCATCCTTTTTTTTTTTTTTTTTTTTTTTTTAATTCAGCCAACTCCTTCCTGCTGACACACTTCAGCCCTGGAGTTAGGACGCTCTGCTTTCCTTTGCAAGTGTAAGCATGTGAGCACCTGCGTGGGGTGATCTGGGAGGACCTGGCCCTCCTATTTCATTTGCTAACATTTAGGTCAGAAGTAGGCAGGGTTTTGAATGTTTCATGAAGTGACTCACATCCAACAGGCTTGAGAACAAATGACTGCCAAGAAGGAACAGGCCCCCCAATGGCAGAACCACTGGGGGTGGAGGACTTGAATTCTAAGAGTGGCTAAGACCTTGATTGTACCCCATTTGTCCTCATTGAGTCTATGTGTTATTTTCATGCTGTGAGAAGAAAAAAATAGGTCAAAAATATTTCTCTGGTTAGCATGCAGATTCAGGTGTGTCTTAGTCTGTACTGCTATAACAAAATACTTGAGATTGGGTAATTTATGAAGAACAGAAATTTATTTCCTCAGAGTTCTGGAGGTTGGTTCCCAACCTCCAAGATCAAGACACTGGCATCTGGCAAGGGCCTTCTTTCTGCATGATGACATAGCAGAAGGCAGAAAGGCAAAGAGAGGGCAAGAAGGGGCTGAACTTGCCCTTTTATAATGCACCAACCCTACTCATGGGTGAAGCCTTCATGACGTAATCACCTTTTAAAGGTCCTACCTCTTAGTATTACTACAATGGCAATTAAATGTCAACATGAGTTTTGGACTGGACAAATATTCAAACCATAGACCAATAGGAGGCCCTAATAAGTGTGTCTTCTCCAACTTTCCCAACTCTGGGCCTCTCTGCTCCTCCTCCCCACTGCTAGAACTGCTTAGTACAAATTAGGAGGCTGTGTGGAGTTGGGTGAAGTGCCCTGACCTGGCTATACAAGCTCTGCTGTGCATCAGGTAAAACACTCAACTCGTCTGATTCCCAGTTTTCTCATCTGGAAATACATCATAGGGCATCTTAATGATTAAATGGAGACAGATGTAAAGATATTGCAGTACCCACCAAATATCAGCCCCTTTTCCTCATTCCTGATCATATTAGTGCATTTTTTCCACTCAAAGGCATTTGTATTATAATAGGGGGCAGCCTCTACAATAATATTTTTTAAAAAGATGAATCTCTAATGGTGGTTTAAAGCCTTGGAAATAAGCCCAAGAAAAAAGTGAGGTGATATCATTGCAGCAGGCAAGGGACCCTCAATGACAACATGCATTGAAAAGACTTGACAGGCAAAGAGTCAAGGGTATAAGTCAGCAACAAGTCACAGGGAAAGCCAGCAGAACTTAAATGGCTTCCTTCATCTTTCTTCTCATGTGAGAGGACCCTAATTATCACACACCAACTATGTGGTTAAGAGTAGCACATATTTATTGAGCTCCTACTATGTGCTCTGTCTCTAGACCACTGCCAATGTCTTCATTTCCCCTTGGTCCCTCTTCCGTCCAACAGCCTACCCCATTCCTTTGTATCCTTCATCCTTTTCTCTCACAATCCTTCCCACCCATACACCACCATTGACTCTCAGCTGCCTTGTCTGAACAGATGTCATGAGAAAGGCTGTCCCTTGGGGCCAACATAGGACACAGAGAACAACCAAGCTGGCAGGTAAGGATGCCACTACCACCACCTGAGACACTGGCAGAGACAGAGATGAGGCTATTCTGTTTGCTCTTCACCTTCCGCTAAAGGTATTTCCTGAGTGTTTTCTGATGATGAAGGAGCCAGTCAAGAAGATCCATGGCCTTCCTTGCAGCCCTCCTAAGTTGAACTGATTCTGTTCATGGAGCCACTTCATTCTTCTGCTTTTGTTTTGTTTTGTTTTATTTTGTTTTGTTTCAGATGGAATTTCACTCTTGTTGCCCAGGCTGGAGTGCAATGGCACGATCTCAGCTCACCGCAACCTCCGCCTCCCAGGTTCAAGCAATTCTCCTGCCTTAGCCTCCCGAGCAGGTGGGATTACAGGCATACGCCACCACACCGGGCTAATTATTTTGCATTTTTGGTAGAGACGGGGTTTCTCCATGTTGCTCAGGCTGGCCTTGAACTCCCGAACTCAGGTGATCTGCCCGCCTAGGCTTCCCAAAGTGCTGGGCACTTCTTACTTCTAACCTAAGTTCCTGTTGTCTGCACCAACAGCAGGCACATCTTATGGAGAGGTCGGGCTTCTTTCTAGCCTTCCCAGATGTCCTTCCTCCCTTCAGCCACTTGCATTTTTCTCTCTTTGGAAGGGTGGGGGTAGGAAGGAGGAACAAACTCAAGTCCACAAAATGTGGTTTCTGAGGCTGGGCACAATGGCTCATGCCTGTAATCCCAGCACTGTGGGAGGCCAAGATGGGCCGATCACTTGAGGTCAGGAGTTTGAGTCCAGCCTGGCCAACGTAGTAAAACCCTGTCTCTACAAAATACAAAAATCAGCCGGGTGTGGTGGCACATGCCTGTGGTCCCAGCTACTTAGGAGGCTAAGGCAGGAGAATTGCTTGAACTCAGGAGGCAGAGGTTGCATTGAGTCGAGATCATACCACTGCACTCCATCCTGGGCAACAGAGCAAGACTCCATCTGAAAAAAAAAAACAAAACGTGGTTTCTGGCTCTTAAAATCAATGCCAATAAATGTCAGAAAATTTGCTACTGGCAAGTGAGGCAGTTTGAAAAATAAATGTGGGCACTTTGACCTTGGGCCTCTGGGCCAGCACTTGTCACTCTGTGCCTCTGACATTGAAGACTGGCATTGCCGGAGGCCCTATCATATAACTCCAATGCTGGACAGGAGGCATCAGTGTATATCTCATAGAACGTCAAAGCTCAAGTGGGCACTTAGAGGGGATCCATTGCAACCCCCTTATCAAGGACCATCTGTTTAGACTTTCCCACCTTTGTGAATGGGCAGTGAGTTTTGTAAATGAGGAAAATGTCCTTCACTGGGAAAGGTAACTGAACTACTGTACTTGGTCAAGTTCAAGTTTCTCTGCACGACCTTTGAGGATGTCCATCTTGCTCACCTTTCACCACCCGCTGCCTCCAAGAGAACCAGACCACTCGTACATCCTCACAGTGCTATAACCTCAGTGCCTTTGTGCAGGCTGGCCTTGACTGGAATGTCCTGTTGCCCCTCTCCCTACATTCACCTGAGAAACTTTTACCTATTGGTTATGATTCAGCTCAGCTACCACTGCCTTTAGAAGCTTGAATGTGACCATAAACAAGAATTTGTCAGGCTCCAGAGACAGGCTGACTGAGGGTCGAATATCTGTCCATTCCCAAGTCCTTTTACCTCTATAAACCTTAGTGTCCTCATCTATAAAGTGGGAATAATAACATGGAACTTTCAAGGCTGTTAAAGAGGAAGATAAAAGTGCTCAGTCTAGTAGCTGTTCACCTAGTGAACACTCAAATTCAGTAACCATTTTCATGTTTCTTGATATTCTCCACTCTGTCCTTCCATTCTTGACTGGGATGAAGGCTTCTCTCTATCACTGTGCTTTTATATGGGTGCTATGTTTTAATCACTTTATTGAAGTGTAATTTACATACAACAAAATGTACCCATTTTAAGTGCATGGTTTGAAGAGTTTTGACAAATGTAGACACCTGTGCATGCCTGTGCATACAGAACATTTCTGTCACTCCCAAAGGTTTCCTTGTGTTTCTTCCCAGTTGATCTCTATTCCCCTATACCTGGCCCTAAGAAACCACTGATCTCTTTGTTCTTTCTTTTTTTGTTTAGGCAGAGTCTCACTCTGTCCCCTAGGCTACAGGGCAGTGGCACAGTCTCAGCTCACTGCAACCTCCACCTCCCAGGTTCAAGCAATTCTCCTGACTCAGCCTCTCCAGGAGTTGGGATTATAGGCACATGCCACTATGCCCAGCTAATTTTTTTGTATTTTTAGTAGAGATGGGGTTTCACCATGTTGGCCAGGCTGGTCTTGAATTCCTGACATCAGATGATCCACCTCCCTCGACCTCCAAAATTGCTGGGATTACAGGCGTGAGCCACTGCACCCAGCCCCAACTGATCTCTTTCTATTGATATATGTTACATTGTCTTTTCTTAGAGCTTCATATAAATGGAATCATACAGTACATATTCCTTTGTGTCTGGCTCTGTTCATTCAATATAATGTTCTGAGAGTCTTTGAATGCATCAGTAGCTGGTTCCTTATCACTGTACTTTTAACATTGTGTCATAATCTATCTGATTCCTCCACTAGACTGTGAGGCCTTCAAATATTTAATCTTTTTCTTCTTTCGTTCTCAAATAGGTACTCAGTAAATGTGAGCGGGAAGGAGGAAGGAAGAGTGAGGGAGTTGCCCTGGGGATTAGCTAAGATCTTGGTTGCAGCCTTGCTACCTGTCCATTCCTGGGAGGCAGTACTCACAGTCCCAGCAGAACCCCATCCACAGGCACTTACAGCAGCCAGTCCACAGCCACCAGCAGACTGATGTCCTCTGTTGGCAAGCCCACAGCCGTCAGAATGAGGAGCATGGTGACCAGTCCGGCACTGGGGATACTGGCCGCGCCAACGCTTGCCAGGGTGGCTGTGAGGCTATAAGAACAGAGAAGTCCAGGTCATGGAAACGGAAAGAATCTTAGCAAAACCAACCCTGGCAATTTTAAGCTCTAATTTTCCTGCAGCCATAAAATCCCCACCCTCCCAACCCCCACCCCATACTCTCCACCAAGGAATAGAGAAATCTAAAGTACTAAGACCCAGGAATCAAGAATTAAGGCCTATTTGGGTTCTGCTCAACTATGATGTAAGCTTATAAATTCATGGATTGGAGCCTTATTCCCATCATGCTATCCAATTAGTCTAATATATCACAGGGCTCAAATAAGGTAAGCGTGGCTCTAAAAGCAGGCAAGGAAATACTAAAGATAAAAACAAATCGCCCTTAATCCTCCCATGGGAACACAACTGCATTCATTTTTGCTTACGCTTTTATGTCTCTGTGAGCACCAGAGGCTTTTGGACTACGTGGCAAGGGTCTGAGAAGGCCATTGCCAAGGTTAACAGGAGAACTCAGAATAGCAAATATCCAGACGCAACTGAGTTGGACATCGGGGGAACAAATCAACAGATTCCAAATGACACTAAGCGTCAGGCGCCTGGATGCCTCACTGTGGGCTGGAAAATACATTATTCAGAAGGAGGATGCCAAGAAATGATAATGAAAGAAAGGGAGGCTTTCTTTCTGAAGCATCTCATCAGTTCTTTCCGAACAATGCCAGGGCCACACCCAGCACCATTTTGAAGTTTGTCTCTGGGAGAGGGTTAATCTGGAGTTCCAGTGCCCTGTCCTGACACCAGGGAGTCTCTGTGGTCTGGCAAAGGGCAGTGACTCTTTTTCCTCTTTTCTGGATGCCATTTGTACAAAGCTGTCACATCAAAATATCATATCAAAATATCTAAGAGTACTTTAGAAATATGGATTCCTAAGCTATTTTTGTGGGTACCAAAAGGTAAGGGAGACTGCTTTCTTTGTAGTCATAAAATCCTAGAAATTTTATGAGCTGAGAGGCAGCCTCTCAAATTGTTTCAACTAAATCTGGGCCATTAGTGTGACCAAGCACAGAATCCTGGGGTCTTATCATCGGGAGGGCCCTGAATATACCTAATCTTACGTCTGGGAGATTAAGTCCCCTGGAGAGCCTGTGGTTTGAGCTGTTTTTCCCATATTGCCATCCTTCCCAGGTTTAGGTCCATCCTTGCATAGACACTTCCCCTGGGTGTGATCTACAGACCCCCCAACCACACCCTTCCCCTCCCACTCCATGGTGTCAAGGCTCGGCGCACTCCAATTTCCTTGAATCTATCTGGGTCACAAAAGGTACAGTGTGGAGTGCTCAGCCGTGAAAGTTCAGCAGTTGAACAACCTGAGTTCAAATTCCAGCTCTGCCACTTAATAACCACGTGACTACAGGCAACTTAACCTCTCTGTGCCTTGATTTCCTCGCCTGTAAAAAGGAGACAGTAATGGTATCTCTTTCATGGGGTGGTCAGAAGCTTTCAGGAGCTAATAAATAAAAATGCACTTAGAAGGGCCAGGCACATTCTGACCCATCCCCACCCCGCCCCATCCTGCCCAGTAGATGTGAATTGTTTTTCTTGTCAAGAAATCTGGACAGGACCAGGCTGCTTTGCAATGAAAACTTCCCTAAAACCCCGAGAGCTGGAAGAAGGGAATTCTCAACCATTTCCCAGACAGAACACCAGGGAAGGGGATCTCCCCAAGTTCCAACGGTCTTGACCTTGACTGTTTTATTTACAGCATCAGTTGCTCTGAGTTACTCTTGCACATCCCTTTGAACTGTGGTTAACATTAACATTATCTGGTTATCTTTTGGTTGTGTGAGACAAAGTCTTATAAAGATAATTCTTCCTGGAAGTTGCTTTCCCCTCTTGTCCTCCACCCTAATAATATCCTCACCCTCCAGTGGGCACAGTGTCTGTCTGTGGAATTCTAGTCCTGCAAGAGCTCCTTGGGCAGTGATTTTCCCTGCATCCCTCATTGCTTTCTGCTTTGCCTGGTCTTCCACTCCCCTGGCTCACTTCTCTAGGGTTCCTGGAAGCTGTTAAGATACTAGACACACAATATCAGAGCAGAACCTCACAGTAACCCTGCAAGGGACTTATATGGTAACACCTGCTTTCACTGTGAGGAAAACATATATAGGATGGGTGGAGAAACTTAGGTCACACAGCTTGAACATGGTCTGCTGGGATTTGAACAATGGTCTACTTGATTTCAATGCCATGCTGGTCCTTGATGGCCTTGATCCCTCCCTACATTGAAAATTCTATGAATTAATAAAATGCTGAGAATTTCTAATCACTATTTTCCTACATGCAGTGAAAGGAGAGGAATGGAGAATTTACTTGGAAGTGCAGCATGAAGATAGATTTGGCTATTTTCCTCCAAATAAACTGCAGGCATGAATTATATCCACCCGTGGTGGGTGCCCCAGAGGTAGCCCTTGTGGGGTCTGCAATTCAGGAGGATTTGACTGAACTCACCCAGGGGCCAGAGATTTAAATGTGTATGGTCAAACTCATCTTTTGTCAACTGAAAATGCTCAGTAGTATCACTGTTAATATAAAACAAACCCTGTGTAGATAAATTCATAGAATTTAAGCATAAATTCAACCACTCACTGGTCCATTCTCCCATCTGTAAGTTCCCATCTAATAGTGGGAACTTAATGGAAAATATGGTTACCATCAAGACCAATTGTTGAGAGAGCAAAAATGACTTTTGCTTGGAAAAAGACTTTCTTAAGAAGCCCTTTTTGTCTTTGAGTTTTAAAGCAAGGGAAGTTAGCAGTCTTGTGATAATTGTTAGGACATAATTTTGAAAGACTTGATCTTCTGACCTGAAATATGTTTTCCATTGTCAGTAACATCATGGTACTCATGATGTCATGGCCACATTTTTCTTTAATATTCTAGGAGTGTTGTGTGTTTTATTAGACATCAATAATAATAATAGAAGCTAACATTTATTGACTGGTGCCTGGTTCACACTCATAAGAGACTATGAGCCAGGCACCATGTTCTCAGCCACCCTAGAATTTGTTATTGTTCCCATTATGCAGATGAGGAAACTGAGGCTCCCTTGTAGTATATAATTCATAGGGTGGTTGTGAAGATTTTATTTTATATATATAAATTATTATTTTGCAACACAACAGTATAATATAGTGGAGGCAGTGTGTGTAATGGCTAAAAACACAAACCCCAGAGTAAGGTGGTCTGGGTTCAAATCCCATTTCTGCCTCTTATAAACAGTGTGATCCTGGCCCAGTTACCTCATCTTACTGTGCCTCATTTTCTCCATCTGTAAAACACGGAACCCAATATCTACTTTTTAGGGCTGTTTCTAGGATCACAAGTTAAATAAATGGAAGCATATGCCAGCATTTGGAAACTTAAATTGTAGTTGTTCCTCTAGATGGCTGTGTGTGATCTATTCTCTGAGCCTCTGTTTCCTTATCTAAGGTGAGATAATTTAGCAAGAGAGTCACTGGAAGACATTTCAGATGATACATTCTAGCTGATTAAATAAATGTGATTGCTATTTCATGTTTTCATATTGTGTGTGTGTATTAAACATGGTGAATTTTTCTTTTCTCTATTTGCTGAGTTGTTAAAGTGAACTCAGATGCATATGGGATATTCACTAAATCTTCTGGAATGGTTATAAGGATAAAGGAGAAAGCTGTGTTTTAACAAAAATGTCCTTGAGCTGGTTGAATACCTCAGAGCTAGACAGATCAAGCACAGGCTCTGAAGTGGCCATTCCATGGCAATATCAGCCCCTAGAACACATAGAGGACGTGATTAGAGGAATTTTCCAGCACTGCTACAGACACTGGGTGGTCCCTCAGTTTGGACTTTTTAAAAATCTGAGCATGTAGAGACATCAGACCCAAATGAACACTGCCTCTTAGGAGAGATCTCCTAAAATGGCCCTAGTCCACTAAAGGCCTACCAGAGAATGGACTGTTGAATAACATGAATCAACCAGACACCAGATTATTACCAAAGTTTCTAATATAGAGGTTGACAGTGCTGCCTGGGGGAGAAACGGAAGTGGGAGAAAGAGGCTAGCACCTTAGCCTGAACCCCAAAAATATTGCCCCTTCTAATGCCCAATGGAAAAAGTCAACAAAAACACTATTCTAATGTCTGTTTTTGAGTCATAGTCAGAAAGAAGAAATGACTTGTGGTTGGAAGAGGTAAACTGTGGAATAGAAATTTGACTTGTGCCTCTGCCAGCCATAACCATGAGACCTAGGTTTGTCACATAATTTCTTTGAGCCTCACATGCCTCCTCTGTAAAATGGTAATAATGACTATCCCTTCTCTTCAGGACTGCCGGGCATGTTCAAAGCAATATATGGAAAGAGTCTGCCACCTCAGAAGAACCAAAGAGTGGAGTGATTATCATCATGGAGGATGAAAGTGTATTCCAGTGTCTACCTCATTCATTTCCTAAAATGAATCACCCAGGCCTTGGCTATTCTAATATCTGGAATTCTCTTTCTACCACAAGTACATCTGTCACACAGAATGTGACCCACTTACTCCCTATGTTTTCTGATCACATAGAGTCTGAGAGGGGAAATAAAACTTAGACATTGTTGAGTCCAAAATTGACAAACTCCAGTGTCTTAAAGGACCAAGCTGCGGTGACAGGTGCAGCAGACCAGGTATAAGTAATAGGGTGGGCAGGGGAGACTGTAGGAAACTGAAATGCAGCTGTCTTACAAGAGGATGAATTTCTAACCTTTTACAATATATTTCAAGGCAAACAAAGCAACACTCTGGGCTGGGAGTCCATCCACGAACTACCAACTTTTAGCCCCAAAGTATGAATACCTTCCTTATTTATAGATGAGGAAATTGAGACTGAGAGTAGGGATATAACATAAGATAGGGCAGAAATTGGCTTCTGGCTTAATTGAAGCATTTAGATGGGTTGGGAGTGATAATATTAAAATGATGATTGCAAAAAGCTTTATTTCATGCTATAATGTCAATATAACATTGAATGGGTTGAAGACCGATATTTTCAATGACTTAACCTATAAGCAAGAAAGTGAAGTGTTAGTTTGGCTGTGATCTTTAAGTTTATGGTGAGGCAACACATTTTTAATGATCTCTTAGGAAAATGTTCTTTCTGAATTTTTAAAATGATGAATGCATTTAAATAAAAAGAGCTTTAGTAAAAGCAAAACTATGTGCTATTTATTTGTAATAAAATCTTATATGTCATATTTAGGAATCTATTCCAGTATTTTGTAATTTCTGCCGTTACCCTCTGGTGATAGAATATTGAACAGAACATATTTTAGTGAAACAAAAATTGGATCCAGAGTCAGCTGATGTTGGCCTCAGTTACAGTCCTGTCAAATCATTACTGATGTTGGCCTCACTCAGAGTCATGCTGTAGCCATGGACAAACTACCATGCCTCTTGGTGCCTGAGTTTCTTCGTCTATTAAATGGGCAAGGAAATTACCCTGCCTACATCACAGGATTGCTAAAAATCAAATAATATCCAATTTCTAAAGCAAGTTGACATGTGCAACACAAACAGGAGGTATTAATGAGAGTCTTCTTTCTTGTCGCAATCTTTTCCTTTCAAAGGCTGCCAATAATTCCTCTTCTTTTATTACCTTCATTGTCTTCCACCAGCAGAAATGAAATTCAAGTGGCCTCTGTTACATGGAGCTAGTGTGGAGGGGAAACAGGGTAGAACAACAGGTAGTTGTTTTTGTGTTTTACCCCACCCTCCTCACCTTACAGTCACAATCTGTCCTCCATCCAGGACAACACCATTCATTTGGGCTATAAAGATGGCGGCCACCGCTTCATAAAGGGCTGTACCATCCATGTTAATGGTTGCTCCAACAGGAAGGACGAATCTAGTCACACGTTTATCAATCCCCAGATTTTCTTCCAGGCAACGGAAGGTGACAGGCAAAGTTCCAGCACTGAGAACAAAGAGAAAGAGAGAGACAGGGTTATGTTCACTTTAGAGAGGCAGGACAACGCACAAACTGGAACACCACTGCATCCTTAGTTTTTCTTGTTTTGTGTCAATCAAGCAAGGTGACATGCAAAAAAGCAGTATCTGGAGCCAGATTAAAAACTGGTGAGTTGGAGGCTGAAATTCAATCTTACTGAGATGCTAATAGGCAGCAAAATATTTTCGTTGGTTCTGGTTCTGGAGATAACACTCAGAACTTGAAGATGTTTTCTTTTGACCACTGTTTCCATCTTGGATTCGATATTGAAGTACATCTGATTGCCCATATTAATTGGGTTGCAAAAAAAAAAAAAAATCTATGTCAGAAAAGAATCAGCTATCAACAGTGAAATGGGATGAGGAATTTTTGGATAACCCATAATTTCATGCTAGAAATCCTGTTTCCAATAAAATGACTGAATGGATCACATTTAGCCCCAGGAAATTGCCCTGAGCTGGGCTTGCTAATTTCCACAACAATAAACATGTCCAGCACCCTTCAGCATGAGCTGAAGCACTTCACTGGGGAACCTCACAGATAGTCCAACACTCTGATACATTCTCATCAGCCAATTCTACAGTCACTTCAATGACATGGAGCAGGAAATCATGTGTTTGATAGCAAATCAGAGACTAAATATGAAGTGACTTCACCCCCACTCCTCCCAGGCCTGGGATGTGGATTCATGACCACATGACCCAGCCTCAAAGGCCAGAATTCCTGACATGTTCATATGTCTTCAAAATTGGAGACCAATAAAAAATAAGGATTGCTAAAGGCCAGAATATTATCTCCATGTGGATAGAAGTGCATGGGAGGGTGAGTGGATTTGCTGCAAGGTTTAAGTAATGTAGAAAGCAATGCAAAACACTCAAACTGCCATGGAAGTGCTTCATGGTCCATCCTCTTGATTTTTTTCTATTCAAACTTTAGCAAAGTGAATTAGAAAACCTGCAATGCAGACAACATTTGGAGGTGTTTTCTCTCTTGCACTTACAGCTTTTGTCAAAGTTTCCTCCTTCTACTGGTCAGAATTAGTGACTAAGCTGGACATAGATCCCTGTAGAGGTCTTGGTTTCTCAGAGAGTGGGAGAAGACCATCTGCTCCAGGGAAGCTAAATGAAATGAAGATTCCAGGGCTTATCCAGAACCAACGAATCAGAAGCCCTAAAACTAGGGATGCCCAGATGTGCATCTTATCAAACCACTGGCCCACAAGCTCCTAAAACAACCTTAGGAGAGTCAAATTTCTCTTACCAGAACATTATTAGTGATTTCAAGTCAGGGGTCTGTCTCATGCCTCCTTCTTGGTCTTGGGTAGGAAGAAGAAATGTTTGTTGGGGAACATTTCATAACTAAAATCTTGCAAACCCAGGGCAGAGTTGGAGCCTGGCCTCATTTGCACGCAGGAGATGCCATTAGACCTGGCTTGCTGTCTTAATGCGAAGTCAGTGTCCCTTTCTTCCTCTTAGCCCACCCTTTCCTGGGCCCTTTCGAAGGGTTGCCAGGACACCAGGACTGGTCTGAGATGACTGCTCAGTTGTGGTTGGTGGCCAGGATTCTCGATTGGAAGGATTCTCAAATCTAAGGACACTTCTGGGATTGCTGGAATACATTTATATTTATTATTGCATTCATTTTTCCAAACTGTCATCAAATGGTCTTTGGACAATTAAGTAGATTGGGAAAAATGATTGGTAAGTATAAAAATATCCTCTATTTCTCTACTGGACAGGCTTTCTTTGTGTCTTTACAAACCCACCCACCCAATCAAACTAGGACTTGAGAATTTTAATTTCAAGCTTTCCTATGTGGACGGGCTGACATTCTGACATTGCTTTTGTGGCTCCTGCCTCAATGGCCATATGACAGCCTTCAAATGTTGCTAATAATAACAATTATTAATAAATAATAAATGTTACTTCTTTTGTTTTTTACATATTAGTTTTAACAGCCTGCACTGAAGTTGGAGGGCTGAAGACAAGCCAGTCTCAGGCCACCCCCCTCCCTCTGCCCTCCCTGACACCAGCCTCTGGAACCATTGAGAAAAGCCGTTCAACTACCCTCAACATTTTTATTCTGTACAAGGGCCGAGGAGGCAGGAAAGATATTTTGTGGGCTGTTCCTGGGTTTTGCTTTTTTTTTCTTCTCTGTGACCATGATGGCAAAGAAACCTTCAGTTAATTCTCGGTACATGACTCATGTCACACAGCCTTTTAAACAAAGAAATTCCACATCCAGGCAAAAACCACATTTTAACGAAAGATTAAAACCACATTTTTTTTTTTCAAATGAAATATAGGGTTGGGGAAGAAATCGGTCTAATATTTGCAGCCTTGGTTGGATAATCTGAGCATTTGTCTCTGATTTAAATACAAATTTGGGCCATGCAAATCCCCTTAAGATTCACCTTGTCTTACAAAGTTACTGAAATAATGGCCTAGTCATCCAAAAGAAAATAGTACTAATATTTTTGAAATAGTTGGAAGATCTAAACCATAAAGGTATTGGAAGAAAATAAAAAGTCATATTGTATTAACTTGGAGAAGCTATTCCTAAGCAAAATCTAAATTCTAAATTCAAAAGAAAAGTACTGATAGCTTTGACTAAGTACAAATTTAAAACTTCTAGAGGCAAAAAGCACAGTAACTTTTTAAGACAAAGGTCAAGTGAAGAGAAAAATTATTTGCAACTTGTGACACATGAGCTAATATTCTTATACAAAAAGAGAGCTTGAAAATCAATCAGGGAGGGACGAATACCTCAACAGGGAAATGACCAAGTTCATGAACAATTCACGAGGCAGGGGAAAAGGGGAGGGGAAGGAGAAGTAAAGATATGCATATCCCATGAGATTACTTTTCACCCAATAGGACTGGAAAGCATTAAAGTGACCGGTAATATCCAGAGCTGGTAAGTAAGCGGGGATGGGCACACCCTCAAACCCCAGTTAATGGGAACATAAAATAATAAATTTTTCTGAATAGCAATCTGGTAACGTGATTCAAAACTGTCAATGTGCATACCATTTAACTCTGAAATTCCACTTATCCTGAGGGGATCATCATACAACCTTGCAGAGATGTATTTGTAAGGATGTTTGTCACAGCCCTGTTTAATAGACATGCCTTAAACGTACATCACTGTGGCTAGGATGGGGTGGGGTTTGCATTGTAGTACATACAGTGCATTATTATGCAGTTTAAAAAATGGTAGTAAAGCCTATTGCAATAGATATAACTTTTATGATATGTTGACTAGTAAAAAAACAGCTATTTATAAAACAGCATATATATACATAGTAAGAACTTGAAAGATATATAACTAAAGACTAATTAAAAGGTTATCACCAATTATCACTGGGTGATAGAATAATTGGCAAAGCTCATTTTCTTCTTCAAAATTGTATTCACTGCCTGAACTTTTTCACAATGAGCCTGCAGAAATTTTATTTTATTTTTGTTTTCTGGTTATGAGCCAGGTATGAGATAAAGTATGAGATACCAGGCTTATAACCAGAAAACAAAAATAAAATTAAACCCGGTGGGGTTTTTTTTCTTTTTCCTCTTTTTCTTCAAGTGGAGAGCTGTATGGATAGAGATACTTAGTCATGGGAAATTTATAAAACCAAGAAGGAAATTTTGAAGTGTTTTCCTTCATCTTCAGAAACTGGGTGCAGAATCTAGATCCTCAAGATTGTGTATATTCCAGCTTGGTCTGAAACCCCATTTTCTACTAGCACTGAATCCTCATTGATTTGCACGGTGGAAATTTAATTTGGTTTCCGAGGCATTATTGGTCTGTTAGGTCGCTTAAGGGAAACCTGACTGCCTGCTCAGCAGCCGTGGAGCAACAGGCCCTGCTGTGTCATGGAGTGCCAGCTCACCAGCAGTGCATGGGCACAGGGTCTGCAACAAGGACCTGATGATGAGCTATGGGTTCAGAATTTGCTTCCCTCCCTGTTTTATGATTCAGTCTTAGTTTTGTGACCCAAGGACATATGTGCAGACATAAAACAATGATTGCAAGCTGAAAGTAAAACACTAGTCTTAAAAATTCTCAATTGTAAGGCATTTCTTTCTTTCTTTCTTTTTTTTTTTTTTTTTTTTTTTTCCCACATGGAGCCTCACTTTGTCACCTAGGCTAGAGTGCAGTGATGCAATCTCAGCTCACTGCAACCTCCGCCTCCTAGGTTCAAGCAATTCTCCTGCCACAGACTCCCGAATAGCTGGGACTACAGGCACTGCCCACCACACCTGGCTAAATTTTATATTTTTAGTAGAGATGGGGTTTCACCATGTTAGCCAGGCTGGTCTCGAACTCCTGACTCCAAGTGATCCGCCTGCCAAGGCCTCCCAAAGTGCTGGGATTACAAGCATGAGCCACTGCGCCCAGCCCAATTGTAAGACATTTCTTATGTATTTCTTCTTGTTCATTTTTTGGGTTGTTTTTGTTACATTCAGTCCAAGATGATAGTCCAAAAAATGATTTTTCTCTGCATATCTCTGGGGTCCTCTTTGGCTTTCTAGGCACTGGAACTAGGTAATAAAGGGGGAACTGATTCTTCATCAATGCCAAGTTAACTCTGGGGAAGAATAATCCATTAGAGGTTCATGTCGAGGTCAAAGATTTGGCTGAGCTTTGTTTGTTAGAAAAAGTCTCACCTAACATACCATTTACTTTGTAAAAGCTGCTTCTTCTACTTTTGAAAATTTATTTACCAAAATCTTCAAAGAGTAATATTTTGTGACAGCATTTTCCAAATCACAGGTGAAATGTTAATTGAAAAACATCCTGTTAAACTCCCTTTAGAAAACATCTAAAACTAAACTAATGATATAAGTGGCAAATTAGGCATGCAAACAAATAGCATGCATTTATCTGAAAAATTTAATGTGAGATCCTATTTCCAATATAATTGCAAACCAGCAAAAATGTTCACCAGAAGGCTCAGAAGTTCCTAGAAGGAGACAAAAATTCAAAGCATTCGCCTTTTCCAAAAGATCTTAGTAATGTGTGCCAAGTGTTCTTATTGAACTTTGTGATGGGAGGGTTTTGAGAAATGAGAAATGGCGAAGAGGGCAAAAGAGTGAGCAAAGAGAAAGGTGATTTCTTTTGTTCTCTACCTGGAAGCGGTGCCCAGGGCAGTGATCCAAGCTTGGAAAATGCCAGCAAAAAAGGAGAAGGGGTTTTTCCTGGTCACTACAAAGTAAATCAAGGGGAGAAAGATGCCCCCGTGGATGATGAGGCCTATGATCACTGTTACCATGTACATCCCCAGTTGCCTAGCAACCACTTCTAAGTCCTTGATTGCAATGATCTTCCCACAGATCAGGCAGGCGATACCCAGGGGAGAGTACCTGAAAAACACAAAAGGGAAAAACAGCATTGAAGAGATCATTATGGCATTCAGAACCTGGGCCTCCTCTGTACCGCACCCTGAGGAAAACACATGGCTCTTCTGTACAAAAAAAGACTTTTGCTGAGAAAAGGTCATGAGATTCCATTGATGTTATTTTTTATTTTGGACCAACTCCCTTAATCAAAATCTGTTTTGTGGATCTGGTGGTGCCCACTCTGATGAAAAGTCCAAAGGCAAATTTTGTCGCTAAGGTGAGTTCTAGGGATAAAGGAAAGACATGCATTACCATCTTTTAGCTTTACCATCAAGTTCAAAGTTGAGAGACTCAGGCATGTCTCTGGGAATCTTGTTTGATTTGTGTTCCTCAGTTCCTTCCTAGAAATTTGGGAATTTGAGCTTTTTAGAAAACTATAAACTGGAATTTGTAAATTTGCGTTGTTTCTACCTTGGAAGATAGGGAATATATTAAAATGAGAGAGAAAGAGAAAGAACAAGGAAACCATCTGGGCCAAAATGTACATTTAGAGAAAAGTGGTTTTACGACTTCCAAGTCTGAAAGTAGTTTTTCCATACTTACTCTAACAATAATGCTAACTACTTTCATTTTGTTTTAAGCACTATGGTGAGAGCTGCACACTCATTCCCTCACTTAATGCTTACCACAACCCGAAAATCTAGGTGTCATTATTGCTACGTGGCAAATAAAGAAACTGAGGTTAAGAAAAGCTAAATAATCAGCCCAAGACCAGGAAACCAGGAAATAAGAGAACAATCTCAGGTCTCTGAAACTCCCAACTGGGGGATTTTCCCAACCAAGGCAAGCCACTTCTCTTTAGTGAACAATCACAGCTCTTTGGAGATAAGCAATTCACCATATGCCAATGTATCCTGTATAAACTGATGTTATAGTTCTATCTTATTATTATTTTATAGAGAGTTTGGAAACTACCTTGGTCCTCCCTCTTGGGAAAGCTAACTATTTTGTCTCTCAACCTGAATATATTCTTCCCATATTTGGTAAAATCCTTTAGTATCCAGAATGGTGTTGCTAGGGCATGAATTTGTTCAGCCTGTGACAGTTTCTGGCTGATATGAAAATACTTGTGGGACGGCTGCTACCTTAATAAAAATTATGAATATACTTGAGAGAAAGACTATGGGGAAAATGAAGTCCCTAGATAAGGCTTCCAGCAGGGGTCAGGGAGTCAGGAAAGCCTGCTGTAATTGTAAGATCTATACAGACTTATAATTGTGCCTGGAGCAAACACTTTGCTGAATTAAAGAAAAAATGTGAAGAGTAGATGAGACACATATATATGAATACTACATAAGATGTGGAGCTCATCTCGCCATTTATTAGCTATTAATATGTGACCACGGTTAGTGGCTTATTCCCATTTTACAGATGGATGTCGAGGCTCAGAGCAGCTAACTCCAACCTCATGGAGATGCTGTGGGGATTAAATTTTTGAGCATGCATGTGTGTGTGCTGCAAAAAAGACCTCTCGCATCTCTGTCAGTACCATTAATTCTCTGAGTCCTGACAAAGGAATTCCTCGTGGGTTCTGTTTTCACACACGTACCCCATGTCCTCTCATCACTCATGCTTATTAAGCCTGAGTTAGTGATGCTTTCTAGAACATCTCCTGGGATACCCAATTGCAAGATGATTTTATAGCAACATATTCTCTCAAGAGGAACCTAATCTTGAAGGAACTGATTTGTAACTGACACAATTAAACATTAGCATAGCTGTTCTCTTCCCATATGAGAATCTAGCCTGAAGCTCCTACTTCTCCTTTCTGTGGGGTCCAGGCTGGTCAAGTCTGAGGACTGCTTCCCTAGACATTAGGGAGTCTGAGACAAACCTGTGCTCATGTCATTAAACCCTGGGCTCTCCGACCATTTTATATTCTGCTGGTGTGTCCATAGTCACAACATCTCATAAATTATCAAGGTAGTCTCGGGCACCAGCACTTTGTTCACTGAGACTGTAAATAAGCAGAATGAACCTTCCTATAAAGCAAAAAAGCATTTATCTTCATAAACCAAGAGATCAGTTCTTTCCCAAGCACCAAGCACCCTTGAAAGATGTCCAGAAAAACACTACTATAAGCTGTTTTGGGTGCCATTCAATTTTCCTTCTCTCCTGGGACAAGCAATTTGTAGAATGGAGAGAAAATGCTTTCAAGGCTCTTTGCCAAAAAAAGACTAGCTATAGAGTCTCCTGGAGAATGTATTTGGGCCACTGACAGATGGACTAGAGAGAGGTAACGGTTTACCTCTGGGGCACTTAGCCAGCTGGGAAAAGCATGAGCTCCCATTGTAAATCGAGAGTGTTAAAGGCCAGAAAGTGAAGTGTTAGCAAGCAGAAGCCCTTGCTAATCCAAACACCTTGATCTCTGGGAATAGTATGAGCATTAAGTAGAAGAAGGTAAGAATCTTTGTTCTATGAAGTCTTTCAGGGCCATTACTTTCTTATGCCTATTTTTATTTTATTTATTTTTTATTTTTTATATTTTGAGACAGAGTATTGCTCTGTTAGCTAGGCTGGAGCTCAGTGGCACAATCATTGCTTGCTGTAACCTCGACCTCCTGGGCTGAAGCAATCCTCCCACCTCAGCCTCCTGAGTAGCTAGGACTACAGGTGTATGCCACCATTCTCAGCTAATTTTTTTTTACTTTTATTTTTGTAGGAGATCTCACCATTTTGCTCAGTTGGTCTCAAATTCCTAGCCTCAAGCAATCCTCCCGCCTCAGCCTCCTACAGCACTAGGATTACAGGTGTGGCCAACCAACTGCGCCCATTTTTAAAACAAACAACTCAGGCCTTCACTCCAAAACTGGGGCTTCTGGGTTCCTGGGTTTCCATATCAATGAATTACCTAATTGAAAATAACATGCCATGGAAAAGGATGGGCAAATGGCCAGCACCCAAGGCCACCACTCAAATCTTCTGAGATGAAGCCAGCAATCAAAACCACAAACCAAAGTGCATAAAGAGGCTGAGGGCTGCATGGAGAGTTCTGAAGCCAAATAATGCCCTGTGATTGTTGGTCCAGTTTCCAAATGAGAGGGACATGGCTAGAGAGCTGGGGAGAGGGAATGGCTCCCATGCTGCTCTTAGGCTGTTCTTGTTCTCTGTTTTCAGGGCCATAGATTCATCCAGGACTGGCCTGTGGAGTCTTTTTCTTACTGCTGTATCCATTCTAGCCTCCACGTACTTTGTCTCAAAGCCCTTGCCAGCCTAAGGGTCCCACCAAGATGCCCCTCGCAGGACTCCACAAACACATTCATCTACAGCAGGCAAGTTACCTAGAATTCAGTCAGTGTCCGGGTGTCAGAAACCACCGGCTTCCTGTTAACAATGTGATTCCCTGGGCTTACCACACACCTACAGAGTCAGAATGTCCTGAAGCTGGCCTTGGGGCATTTATGTTTTAAACAAGCTCCCCAGGTAATGCTGATCTGTTTGAAAACCAGTATTTTAAGAAACAAAAATCTTAACTGCAACTGATGAAATGCAGATATTACTTGGTGACCTTTTGGAAACCATTTGCCTTAGCTCCAATTTCTTCAGGATCTTTGAGGTCTTAACCCACTGGAATAATTCATTTGGGACTTACAGGCCTGGGACAGATGATGGGGCAGACACTGACGATGGGAAAGGAGGTAAGCTGAGGGACTTTCTCAGTCCTGCTGTGAAGCCCCTCTGGTGCTGTCCCACATATTTCCAATAGCTTGTCAATAGAGCTAAACACACATTCCAAGAGTAGCTGAAAGGTGCTGTCCATGCTCAGAAAGTATTACAAATCTTCATCTTTCCCAATCCATTTAGGGATAGGTGTTCCAGCTACCCAAAGAGTGATTCTTGTTCAAAGTTACCATTTGTGATTAGAACTTTTCATCAAGACAGAGTGAAAAACAGTTTGTACAGCCTCTAGGCTTATGATTAAGGGACTTTCTTTTGCAAGTAAATGAAATTCCAACTCATCAAGGTGACCTGCAGGACCCTGGAGGATCTGCCTACTGCCTACCTCTCCAACTGCACCTCCTTTTGTCCCCTTTCACCAACCACACTGCAGCTTCTCTAGACCTTTGTTCTGATCCTCAAAAGCCTTTCCCTGCCACTTCTTCCCCCTGGAACATTCTCCCCTCAGTTCTTTATAAGTTGCTTGGCTCACTCTGCAGCTCTTCATTAAAGGTCAACTTCCCAGACAGCACCATGTGGCCCATCACTATCTCTCGCTATTGCACGGCACTTATGACTATTGGAATTAGTAATAAGTGCTACAAAGACAATCTGCTCCCATTTGCTCCCTTTTGGCTTTCCCTCTCTCCCTTCCCTAGGATGTGAGCCCCACAAGGGCCGGAACATTTCTCTGTCTTATTCAACATTATATTACCAGTACCTAAAATCATTGCCTGCACAGAATAGAATATTTATTGAATGAAAAAAAAAAATAGATGGATTGACAAAGATTCTTTGTTTGACCAAATTTTAGTTAGGCTTCTGAACCTTCTTCTGGCCTCTTCTGGGCTCTTTGCTAAACCTTATAAAATCCGGTTTAGCAAAACACTCGTCTAAGTCAGGTTAGCAAGAACCTCCGTCCTCAAAATCTGATCACCCTCAAATCTGATCAGGTTCTTCATCCTCCCCCGGATGATGTCTGGTCACCCTGTGGCCTTCAGCTAGAATCCTGTGGGGTTAGTTTAGCCAAAATACTCCTTACCCCAGACCATCCACTGCCCCCACCTTTCTCCGTGCCTATAAATTCCCACTTGCCCGTGTTGTACTTGCAAGTGAGCCCAATCTCTCTCCCCCACTCCAAAATCCCATTGCTGTGGTCCCTGTGCTCATTGCAACAATCCTGAATAAAATCTGCCTTACTCTGCTTTAACAAGTGTCATTGAATAGTTTTTTCTTTAACAGTGTGGATGGATGGTGGTTTATTGGAAGAAGGAATTGGAAGAGTAGGCAGAGATTTTACTTCTCACTTATGTTTTTATAGGGGTAAGATTATGAAACATTTTACTTTCTGTTTAAGTTTTTCAAATTTTGAAAAAAATGTTTTAAATAACCTCATAAGAAAATGAGGATATGAAAATCATACAAAAATTAAGGGGTTTTCAGGTTTCTTAAAGAATTCATAAACACAGAGATACAAAGGATATGGATCGAATTGATGATAATATTGGTAACAGCAAACAGCCATGACTATAATACTAATCCATGTAAAGTGCTTAGACAGTTCCCAGCACCAAAAAGGTACTTCACGACTGTTGGTCACAGTCTTAGTTCTCACAGCAACCTATGGCATGGATTCTAGAATCATCCCATTTGACAGATCAGAATGTCGGGGCTTAGAATGTGTCTAACTTGCCTAAAGTCACACAGCTTGCCATAGGAGGATCCTGGATTCAATCCAGTCTGAAGTAAAAAAGAAATTGACGTAGGTGTTACTTCTGTACAGCTCCATAATACTGGGCAAGTCGCCCTCTGTGCTTAGTTTTCTCATTTGGTAAATGGGTTAACAAAAGCACGTATTTTTGTGTTCAGTACTATTGTGAAGAATAAATGAGCTAATGCATGTAAAATAATTGGAGTAATATTAAATATTTAGCAGGAATTTGGTAAATTTAAGTTATTTAATAATAATTGTTTCCTCAGTAATAAATGGGTTAGTACATGTACTATAACTGAAATAGTACTGAGCATATAGCAAGAAGTTAGTAATTCTAATTTATAATTTAATAACAAAAACAATTATTATAATATTTTCAATGTTACATTTTGTTATTATTACTATTATAACTGCTACATAGAAAAGAATACAAAAGAATTCTGATTTTTTAAGCTTTGAGGGGTCAGTTAAAGAGTAGTTGACCGTTTATCCAGAACCTTTTTACACACATCATTAGCAAATACTGATGCTGACGAGGCAGTGAAAGAATTAAAGAAATGTGTAGAATTGGCATCTCATGTCACGTGACGTCATCCTGACTATGAGCCTAGATGAAGTAACCAAACAGCTGTCAGAAATCATTCTAGGGTCTTACTCCTGCCTCACAACCACTTTTTACCTCCCAAGATGATAATAAGTATTTAGGAGTTCTGGTTTCAATGAATGGGAAACTTCTTAATTCATACCACCACCCTCCATCTCTGGGGAGGAGGGAGGCTACACTTCATCCCACTGACTCATCCGATGTCCTAGAAGATTCCCTTTCCTGCAGGGGTTTAGTGGAAATCACATTGGTATGGATGTAGGAAGGACACACACATTGTCCATGTTATTGGCATCATATTACAGAAATATGGGCTGCATATTTGGAGTAAAGATGCATAATCTGCTAGAAATTCTAGGAAACAATGGAAAATCCTAATGTTTAAGCAAGAGACTTATTCTGCTTTGTGTATTATGTACTAAACTCTCAACAGACTCAGATGAATCTGAAGGACTTAAAAAATACATTTTACCTCTGGGAGCGGTGGCTTACGCCTGTAATCCCAGCACTTTGGGAGGCCGAGGTGGGCGGATCATAGGGTCAGGAGTTTGAGACCAGCCTGGCCAACATGGCAAAACCCTGTCTCTATTAAAGATTAACAAAACTAGCTGGGCATGGTGGTGTGCACCTGTAATCCCAGCTACTTGGAAGGCTGAGGCTGCAGAATCACTTGAACCCGGGAGGCGGAGGTTGCAGTGAGCTGAGATGGCGCCATTGCACTCCAGCCTGGCGACAGGGCAAGATTTTGTCTCTCTCTCTGTCTCTCTCTCTCTCTCTCTCTCTCTCTCTCTATATATATATATATATATATACACACACATATATATGTGTGTGTGTGTGTGTGTGTGTGTGTGTATGTTTTACAACACCACCATATTGCCAAATCTTCATACGAAAGAAATATCCAGAAATCCAGCATTGCCTGAGAAGCTGAAGGATCAGTACAATCATGAAAGAGAACATGTTATTTCACTAGCATCCTTTCTGTGTTTTAAAAGCACTGTAAAACAATGATCTGAACAAGCCAGGTCTGCTAAATATGGTTCATGAAATAGTGAGGAACATCTTCTTGATTTGAAATCTTGGCATTTTCAGCTATCCCACTCATTCCTAAAGTTTTAGTAACAATTGACTACAGGCACATCACCATGTTTGGTTCTGTGGAGATAAAAAATAAGAACAGATTTTTGTCCTTGTGAGGTGGGGTGGGAGAAAAGAAAAAGAAGAAGAGAAAAAGCAGCTGGAATTTCCATGAAAGGCACCTACAGAAAAGTGGAAAAGGATCAGAAGAGGTTTGGCAAAGAAAGTGGGTAAGCCTGGAACATGCAAAGATGGGGAATAGGTAACCCAGAATTCCTATGGAAAAGAGAACACAGGTATGACTTGGTCTAAGAGTGGTTTTATTTTTTTCTAGGCAGACATACAGGACCATCCTAGGGATCTGAAACAAATGCAAGTAAAAAGCTTTCTGTCTGATGGATATGGGACACCAAAAGTTTCCCTATGATTGAAGACGATAGAGCTTCCACGATGAGAGAGTAGATCCTCGTGCTCTCCTAGGCTCCCCTAGATTTCAGAGTCACTGACTATAAACACACGTGAAATCAAGGGGAAACAATATTGTTTAGACGATTCAAACCAAAAAACCTACCTGCTTAGGTATCAAGGATTTTGATACCAATATGAACTATAGCTCTTCCTCTACCTAGCTATAATAATCTTAGGCAAGTTAATTATTAAGTTGGTGCAAAAGTAATTGTGGTTTTTGCCATTGAAAGTCATGGCAAAAACTGCAATTCATATGTTGAATTCATATGTCCCCCAAATTCATATGTTGAAACTTAACTCCCAGGGCAGTGGTGTTAAGAGGTGAACCATCTGGGAGGTGATTAGGTGATGAGGGCTCTGCCCTCTTCAATGGAATTAGTGCTCTTAATAAAAGATACGTGAGGGAGCCTGTTTTCCCCTTCCTGTGAGGACACACACAAAGGTGCCAACTACGAGGAATACGCCCTCAACAGATACTAAATCTGCTAGTACCTTGATCTTGAACTTGCCAGCCTCCAGAAGGGTGAGCAATAAATTCCTATTGTTTATAAATTACCCAGTCTAAGGTATTTTGTTATAACACATGGAAAGACAATGACTGTGTAAAAGAGACCCCAGAGAGCTTTCTGAATCTCTTTTCATGCTGAGCGAGGTGGCTTATGCCTATAATCCCAGCCCTTTGGGAGGCGTAGGTGGGAAGATCACTTGAGCCCAGAAGTTTGAGATCAGCCTGGGTAATATAGTGAAATCCTCGTCTCTACAAAAAAATTTCAAAAACTAGCTGGGCATGGTAGTGTGCACCTGTAGTTCCAGCTACTTGAGGGGCTGAGGTGGGAGGATCACTTGAGCTGCAGTGAGGGAGGTTGAGGCTGTGGTAAGCCATGATCACACCACTGCACTCCAGTCTGGGTGACAGGGTGAGACCCTGTCTCAATAAAATTATAATGAAATAAAATTCAAATAAAAATAAATAACTATCTTTCTAACTGTGGGTACAATGAGAAGTTGGTCCGCAACTTGGAAAAGGCCCCTTATCAGACCCAACCATACTGGCACCCTGATCTTGAACTTCCAGCCACCAGAACCATAAGAAAGAAATTTCTGTTGTTTCTAAGCCACCCAGTCTTTGGTACTTTGTTATAGCAACCCAACTAAGACAGTTACATAAAAATATATAACCCATTCTCAACTCGCTGGCCATACAAAAGAGACAGTAGGTTAGATTTGGCCCAAGGGGCATAAGTTGTCTACCCTTGTTCTAGGGGAAGCTCCAAAAAAGATATTTTCATCCCTTTCTCAAGGTCTTTCTGGAAAGACCTTTGATCAGCCTATGCCAACTTGTTCCTGCAGGGAGAGCTCCAGTATCCTCTGGGGACCCCAAGGCTTTCTCAACCCACGGCTAAGAAGAAGTAAGAACAAGGCCACTTACCACATGATCATGATCACTAACTTCATTACAATCTCATTCAAAATGTTGAAGAAATCCACCATCAGCTTGGCCTGATCTCCCATCTTCCCCATAGCGATGCCAAAAGCAATAAAAAACCCTATCAGACCTGTTGGGTGAATCACATTACACAGAAGGACAAATTACAAAGAATGTATTTTTTCTCCTCATTCTTTACCATTCCCAAATGTATGGAGCCATGTTCTCACTGCTGGTTACCCTATGAATTAGACACTAAAAGAAAAAAGCATTATATTTCATACTGAATGTAACTTTCCCCTGGATAATTATGGATTTCTTGAACATTTTCCACATGAGTAAGTTAAACTGTAAGCAGTGTTAGGTTCAGGAAAATGTATTCATTTTCATTCCGAACTAAAAGGTGCTCTCTTCTCCCTCCCCTCACTTATGAAGTCATGTGTAAGCAGATTCCATTATTACACAGATTAACGAGTAAAGGCTTGTTGGGACTTGGGGATTATCATGCAAACTTTGGAGCCAATATTGGAATAGCAGAGACCAATTAGCCAATAAATTCTTTGCTAGAGTTACATCTAGTTTGTTTTGGTATTATCCCAAATCAACGTATGACTGGTATGTTTCACTCTTACAAAATCCTAAATGTAAAATTTATTTTTTATTACTACTTACATAAAATGACAGGGAGAAAAAAATACTGAAAAATCAAAGGGAAAACAATAAGAAATCCGAAACTCCATTTTATCCAGTTTTTAAAAAATGTAATCTGTTATTTATGAATTTGTCACAATTCTTTTCATGACTGAAGTGGTTAGAATGCTTTCTTTTTTATTTTACTTGTTTTTTCAGGATCATAAAGACAGAATATAGATTCACTGTCACATTTTGCTAGTTCCTAGTCTCTCCACTCTCTTCTTCCTTCACTTGACATTCTTGACTTGTATCTAAGTCCAGCCTCACATCAGCCTCCGAGGTCAATCCTAACCCCAGGAAGGATTTAAGGAGCTTCATCTCTGCCCTCTTCATGTCAGCATCACATTGCGCTAGGTCTTGGACCAACTCCAATACCCAACCATGAGTCTTACTTCTGTGTTGGTTTCACCTCATCCCCTGTGCCTGAGGTCCTGGGAATCTGCCCTACACTTTAGTTCCTCCAAGGCTAGGCCTGGCTTTGCTCTTCCTACCACTCCTGTTGGTCCCTTCCATTCTCTCCCTTGGTATTTCATGCTCAGGCCTGGAGTCTCACTCCAATGCATCCAGGGACTGGGGTATACTGTGCGGCTTACAGGTGTTTCCAGTAGTGCCTGGGGGCTATCTGGATTTCTAATTGCCAATCCCCATGTGCTCCCTGACCTCTGACCCCTGATCTAGTATTGCCAATCTTAAGGTCTCAATTCTTACTACTTACATGTTCTATAAATCAATGTTGCTATGTCCTTGGCTACAGGACTTTGCTTGCCCACCTGACTTGTTCTCTGACTCTGAAGTATGAGCGATCTTCTCTTTCCTCTTCTCCACACCTAACCTGCTCAATTCGGCAGTCCTAATTTCCAGTCCCTCCCTATTATATCCAGTTTCCTATGGTGTCCAGTTATGCCTAAAGTCTTAACCCATACTCAGTAAATTTTAGCATCATAATTTGATTCTCTTAGAAGGAAATTCCTTCTTTCTGAACCTTTGACTTTACCCTTTCCCTAGCCATCTAACCCATTAACCTCTTTACACCAAACACATATCAACCCAGATTGTCTAACTACCCTTTGCTGGATCCTTTCTATCTTCAGCAAAAAGAATCCATCACTTGCACTTGGGGTTGCTAATACTTCACATTTAGTATCTCCTCTTTTTGCTCTCAGCTAGAAAGCTTGACAAATGACTTCATAAGTGAGTTATTGGCCTGGAAAGACAAAGGTTTAGGGAAGATTAGATCCAGGACAGAGGGAACTAGTCCTGCAGCAATGTACAAAGTCAATTTCAAGCCATTCCCAAGTCCTTCTCTCAAGCCCATGGAGAGGAGTCTGCTAGGTGGGTGGGGAGAGAGAGTCAATCTGAATATTCTGGTTGAGAATAGCTCATATTACTTGGTTAATTTCATTTGAAATTAAGAAAAAAATGCCTGAGGTATCAAGGTCCCAAAGAACTGGAATTAAAAAAGCTCCATTCAGTGTCAGCAGAAACTAGCCATACCTACGAGAGATAGGTTTTTAAAGGAAGAGTTGGAGTTGATTTAAGCAGTTGGGAGAGTGTGGAGCCCAGAATTGTTTCTGGAGGATTTTTAGGAGAGAAGTGGTTCCTTAAAGAAGTGGGAGGCAAGAGCTGGGGTTGTATCTTCATTTATTGCAAGTGCTTAATCCTCGGGACTTTCCAAAGACAAAAAACAGAAAGACAGCAAAAATAAAAAATAAAAAAAGCCACTATCTCCACCCTCAGAAGACCATGGAAAGAACCTTATTTCAGCCATGATTTGTAAATGGGAAGTTTCTCAACAGTTTAACTTCCCTTGGCTTTCCAGAGCCTTGATCTGCACTTGGATGGAAACCATATTCAGCTTGTAATTTTTCTCTGTAAACGTTGCCTAATTGAAATTGCTCACTGAAACGGGGGTGTTCCATCTGAACAAAACCCTCTTGGACTTGGCCGCTGGGGTTACAGAGTAGTGAGTTGTGTTGAAACTCCCCAGTAGAGCCAAAGGTCCTGTGACTTCCCAGAATCCACCAAGACTCTGGAAACAACCAGGAAAGTCTTTGAATGATTCACTCCAAAGCCCTGGCCCCATTGTTCATGGCCTCAAACTCCTCCAGAGTATGGAGAAGACTGAGGAACACTTTGACAAAAGGGGGTTGGGTGTTTTAAGTTATGACCCACCAGAAAGGACCACGGGGGAGTTAGGAAGGTCCTAAAAGGGACATAGATAGCTGGACAGTGAGGGAGAAGAGCTGCTCAGTGGTGGGTGCTGGGAATATTTGCAAAACCTCCCCAGAGGAACTCTCTCCTTCCTTCTCCTCGCTCCTTCCACCTGTCACCTCCCACTGGTTGTTAAACAATGTTTATTGATCTTCCATTGCCCAGAAACCTAGTCAGTTCATCTCTTCCCTTACTCTCACTCACCCAACCTGCTTCCTGCCAGGCCAAACAAAAAAGATCTGCTTCTGCTTCTTGGTGACTATGCAATTCTGCTCCCTCTCTCTCCTCTTTCTCTGTACCATTCTGGATGGCTAAGAAGTAGGCTTACCAAATTTGGAACAAACAAACAAACATGACACTCACTTACGTTTTGAATTTCAGGTAAGTAATGAATGCTTTTTTTTTTTAGTATTCTTATGTCCCATGCAATATTTGGACGCACACTAAAAAACTATTTGCCTTTTATCGAAAATTCAAATTTATCTGGGCATTCTGTATTTTATCTGACAACCCAACTAAGGAGATAAGGCCATGCGATCTTTTAGATGACAATGTGAAAGGACTACTGAGCCCATTCATCTCTAAGCAGCTGTCATCCAAACCTTCAGAAATTGTGCTTAGATAAATAAACATACTTCATCCATCCAGATTCACCATTTCTCTCAGGTTTTGGCCAAACACCCCTATTTCCTGTCTAGGAGACACCATTCTAATGGTGGATGGACGTTATGGAAGGGAGTGGACCCACTGAGTGGGAGGAGAGCAAACTGGGCAGACTAGAGTCGCTCACATGGTAAGAAACCTCTGTCCCTCATGGAGGTATTTTCTTACTGAACTCCTCAGCTCTCCACCCACTTGGAATAATGATCAGAGCTCATATGGAGAGAGCACATGGCATGTGCTACTGTGCCCTATATGCACAATCACATTTCATCCTCACAATAATCTACTAAACAGATGTCAATCCCATTTCCATTTTACAAATGCGGCTCAGAGAAATGGAGTAACTTGCCCAAGGTCAGATAACCAGTAAGTGGCCCATACTGGATCCAAACCCAGGTCTGCCCAACTGCAGAGCCCCAAAAACCTCTAGGATAGCATGCTAAGAAGGCACCAGGCTAGGAGAAAGAGCTCACTGGGATCCCAGAAAGTAAAACAAGATAATCGGTAAAGCTCCTTTGGTACCTACTCCAACACTTCACAGTCCTGGTAGCATCGCATTTGTTTGCAGACTATGAGAGCTGCGGTGGTCCAGCCTCCACACCTAGCACAGCACCAGTACATGGGGGCAGCTTTTAAAATATGCTTAAGAAATGAAAGCAATAGATGTGTCACTTAACAACATAGAGAGTCAGAGAAAGTGACTTTCTAATACCACACAGAGAGTCAGGGAATGTGCCCAATGACGGTAAGCTCCCTTCTTTTTTTCCCATACCCAGCTTCTGGCTGCCCTGTCCCCTCATGATCTCCTCTGCCCTTCTCCCTCTTCCTTAAATCGCTCAGCTCTCAGTCCCAGTGACCCTCAAATTGTTCCCCAGAGAGAGCCTCCTGCTCCACCTAGAGGACAGCCGAGTCATCAGTTTTCTGAAAAGGGAGTGCAGGAGAGCCCAGCCGTAGACAGGGAAGCAGAATCCCGGACCACCAGCTGGCCTACCTAAGACGTTCATCCCGTCCTTGAACTCCAAGCCCTTCTTGATAACCATCTTAGTCTCCTCCGGCACCTCGGTCACAGTCTCGTTCAACAGAGACACAACAGCGCTGGTTGCGTTGGCCTCCTCGTCTGGTGGTGGTGCAACCAGGACTTTCTTTGTCACTGTTTGAATCTAACAGAGTGAGGGGAAAAAAAGGCATAAAGTTGAGGTTTGGCCTATGAGGTGAAAAAAAAGCCTGGCTAGTCATATATTTTAAGGTTCCCAACAGGTTAACAATAATTAAGAAATGCCAAAGCAAGATTATGAAAACTGGAGAATATTTCCTATGTCTGTATTTACAAAGCGGTGTTTTATTATACACAGTGAGATACAATTGTCCTAATCACAGATAATTACAGAATTTTCTATTTGTGCAAATTTATGGGGTACATGAGAAATTTTTTACATGTATACAATGTGTGATGATCAAATCAGGGCATTTAAGGTGTCTATCATCTGAGTACAATGCATTTTTTAAGTACAGTCATCCAACTCTGCTATCAAACATTGAATGAATTCCTTCTATATTTCTGTATGTTTGTACCCTTTAAGCTACTTCTCTTCATCCTTTCCCTTTCCCCCACACTCACCCTTCCTAGCCTCTGTTATCTATTTGTCCACTATTTTTCCATGTGTTCAAATATTTTAGCTCCCACATATAAATGAGAAATGCAATATTTGTCTTTTTGTGCCTGGCTTATTTCACCTAAGATAACGACCTCCAGTCTTATCCATGTTGCTGCAAATGACACGATTTCATAAGTATAGAATGTATAAAAATAATTTGCAAATGTACTATAAGTACTGTGGTCAATAATAGGACACAGTCTTAAACTTGGGGGATAAATGTTTTCTTTCACTCCTATGATTGTAGCTCAGAAACAGTATGAAATGTCTAACTTGGATGCTCTTCCCAATTGTGAGACCTAGTTAGATGGTCCTCCCAGTTGTGATGGTCCTTCCAGTTGTGATGGGCCCTGGGTCTGGTTAAGAATAGGAAGCCTTGGCAGGGGTCAGATCAGCAACTCATGATCCACCTGTTTTCCCCCAACCTGGTCCCCACTGGATAGGGGCATCACAGGCTGCCTCAGTTTGGGCTCCTTCTAGAGCCAGGCTCGGCTGGAAATCTCCATCTGGGCACCAAGAGTGCCAGCTGCCAGCAGCCACCATGGCAGGAGCATTTGCTCATATTTCAGATCCAAATTCAAGGTGGGAAGACAGCCACTCCTTCTGAGCAGTGATGCCAAGCCTTGCTCAATGTTCCCCAAGCGTCTCTGTCAGATGACTCACAAGGAACCTCTCCCGCTATTCCTCGACATCCATGGCAGTGGTCCTATTTTTAAAGGTGCCAGGCACCCTACATGCAGAGTGCTATAAAAATCCACATCTGAGGCTAAAAAACACCACCTCCAGGGGCATTAAAATAGAACTCAATGCAGTATCCTAGAATGTCAGTGCCGGCATGTAGTAGGTAACAGATGGCTGAACCCTGAATAGATATGGAAGAAGATGCATGGGAAAGTCAAGTGACTTGTTGGACGTCATGGAGTTATGGGCAGAACTGGGACTTCAACTCAGATGACCTCACCTCCATTGAGTTATTTCCACAGGCTGTGCTGTACGTTAAGCTATAGGGATCCAATCCTACTGTGCTGGGCTCCATAGGAAGCAAAGCTGAACTGCCAGTTATCCAAAATGGAAGGGAAGGGAGGTCAGTGTTCTCTGAGGAGTGGAGGGTGCTCTCTGTTCTAGCCTGGCCACATGTACTCGTGCAGGGAGAGAGGAAGCCTCGGGCCAGCTTTGTGAGGGAAGAACAGGCAGCCCACTTCTCCCCTCAATGTGGCCCCTTCATCTGGGCAACATTGGTATGAAGAGTGAATGCAGGAAGGATCACAAGAGAAGCTTCCGTGAACAGCAGAGTCATGCTCCCAGGAAAGGAAAGGGGACCAAAGTCAACTGTCAACCTATCCTAAGAATGCTAAAGAAGCCTAAATTTGGTTTAAAAGAGAAATACTCATGGATCTAAATGAATGGTGGTGGCCAGGATCAGGCAGGAGGCCAGCTGCTACCTGTTTTACATCCATTGTGTCTTAGGTCAACAGTAGCCCCTCGACTCAAGGGCAGCTTGCTAGTTAGTTGCTGAGGCAGGATTCAAGATGAGTTATGCTTGACTCCAGAAATCCAGATTCCAAATAGCACAGGCCAGTAGTGTAAGTTGAAGCTGAGGAGATAGGAACATTGAACACAGGCCTAGTTCTCTGCCTGAGTTCCTGATTCACAGAACCTGTTTGGTTGCACAACTTCATGTATTTGCTGTTTTAGTCTGTTTTGTGCTGCTACAACAGAATACCTAAGACTGGATAATTTATGATAAACAGAAATTTGTTTTTTCACCATTCTGGAGACTGGGAAGTACACAATGAAGGTATCATCATCGGGCAAGAGCCTTCTTGCTGCATCATTACATGGAAGAAGGTAGAAAGGCAAAGAGAGGCACAAAGGAGCCAAACTCATTATTTTATAGCATCATTAATCCCACCCATGAGAGCAGAGACCTCATGGCCTAATCACCTCCCAAAGGGTCCATTTATCAATATTGTTATAATGGCAACTAAATTTCACCATGAATTTTGGAAGGGACAGACATCCAAAGCATAGCAGGTGCCAACTCCAGTCTCCCCGACCCTAAGCCACCATCATGTCTCACCGTAAAACCTGCAAAACCATAAACTTACCTACTCAGCTTTCTTCTTGTCTACATACAGCCTATAGATAAGTGTGGCTATCTATAGCCCTGTCTATATCCTTAGCTTCCCCTGGCCCACCAAGTCATGCCTGAGCTGAGTTCACCTTCCTCCAGTCTCTGTACCCCTAACACTGGCCTCACACAGCCTCCTTTTTCTTCTCTGAACATTATAAGTACTTTTCAGCCTCTGCATATGTGTGCCTCTACGGAGAAGCATCTTTCCCCAGCTCTTTGTAGGCCTAACTCATTCTGATCCCCTATCCTCTCAGCTCAAACATCTCCCCTAGTTACCACCAGCCTATCATCCTGCCTCTAGCCCTCAAAGAACACCTGTCTCAATGTTTAAGTCTCTTCTGTGTTTCCCTGATGTTTATTTTGGTCTACCTCCCTCCCCTTTAATGTAAGTGAGCTCCTTGGGGCAGGGTCCTCATCTCTCTCCTCCCCCATGGCATCCTTGTGCAAAGCAGAGAGCCTGGCAGCCCGTCCTGCTCACAAGTATTGGCCGAGTGAACATACACAAATCACTGAATTTTCTGGAGGAAAAGAACCCATGTTCTTTTCCTTCAGAATTTAAACTTGAGATTTTTTAAGAACAGGTGATTCTGGGTTTAATATTGTAAGGCCATATCTTACAGCCAGTTACTCTCTTGGAAATCTCACTTTAGTTCAGAGTAAGCCCCAAATAGCAAGCAGGAGACCTCCCTGCTCACAAAGACACAGGGACCTGACTTGGGCAAACCAGGCCCTGTCACCTGGGAGGAGGCAGTCTCCTCTCTTGCGGGAGCTCATCTTCCTCTTTACATCTCTGTTTCTAACTCTGGTCAGGGAGCCTCCTCCACTCAAGACAGGTAATTTTAAATCACTTCTAGCTGTACTCATGGACACAGATGTCTCTCATGCACCCTTTCTCTCTGGAAATGCCATGTCCCTTTAAAAGAGTTTCCTGTCCTCAAGTCCTCTTCAGTGCCTTCCTCCCAGGCCTAAGGAATCTGTTCCCATTCTCTCCCTGAGGTGGATTCTACACCATTCTTCTTCAGGTTGTCCTAACCCAAAGGGACCTTGATCCTGAGCCTACTGGGGGACCAAGGCTCAGTACTCATATGAATTTGGCAAAGTTGGGGTCAGGGCCAGGATGGGGAAGGGAATGGCTCATGTCTTTATTCCAGAGTGGCAGACAGCACCTCTTGCCACAGGCAGCTGCATGCAAAGACTGCCCATCCACCATAACGCTCACCGAGTATGAGTGTGGCCAGCTCCACAAAAGTTCACTCCAAGACCAGAGCAATAGCTCCAGGAGCCTGCCTGCTTCTTCGTCCTGCCTTCCTTTTTTCACAGAGCATGGCATGACCAGGCACAGAACTGAGTCCAAATCTGTCCTTCCCAGGCCCTCCCATGCTCCACTCTCCCCTAGTCTACTACCAGCTCAGCCTCCTGCAGCTGCGATCCCAGAACACTCTCTCCAAAACGTTAAGAATGAACAGCACCCAATTGTGTGTCTCACTCTAAAGCAAGTCAATTCATCTTTCTGAGCAGGCTGGCTGAGGGGCAAACATGCTATACAGATGGAGCCCAGTAAGCACCTTCTCCTCCAGCTTATTTCTATTTATTTCTGCATCTAACTTCCCTGGTCTGAAGTGGTTTCCTTTAATATAGGTCCATGCTACATTTACCACTAAAATGGTATCTGAAACTAGGGAACAGAGTAATCTGGGTTCAGCAATGGTTAAGGACTACATTTTAGAGACAGCTAGGAATACACACTTTTCTTCTAAGCTACCTGTTTCCTAAGCTCATTCTTCTGTGCTTGGAAATGGCTGAAGGAGACTGCTTGGTTTTAGCTTAGTTTCTGCCCAGGTTCATGGGAACTGGCGTGTGTGGAGTGTGTTCTAGCCTAAGCAGGCCTTGGGGCTAGAAAACAGGGTAGTGGATGGTGCCTACTCAGCTAACTCAGTGGTTCCACTCAGTAAAATCACCTATTTTTAAAAAAATCCCAAGTTTAAAAAAATGTATAGGCGTGTATGCAGCAGGCAAGAGTGTACATTGCTAAGGAATCTGTACCCACTGCTACATACTTTTGTAGTGTCATTTTGCAACAGCCAGCAAACTCAAAATATAAAACTCCTGTCAGGGCATTTTTACTTCTAGGAATTTATCCTTTAAAAATATTATGCAATCATGAAAAAAAGAAGAGATGACTTTAAAACATTTTTCAATGAAAAAGTCAAATGTAACATTTTATGAACAATGGAGTACCGTTGGGTTAAATTCTTGTTTTGTTTGTTTGTTTGTTTCGAGACAGTATGCCACTCTGTCTCCCAGGCTGGAGTGCAGTGGCTCTGTTCACTGCAACCTCTGCCTCCCAGGCTTAAGGAATTCTCTTGCCTCAGCCTCCTGAGTAGCTGGGATAACAGGCATATGCCACCACACCCAGCTAATTTTTGCATTTTTGGTAGAGATAGGGTTTCACCACATTGGCCAGGCTGGTTTTGAACTCCTAACCTCAAATGATCCCCCTGCCTTGGCCTCCCAAAGTGCTGGGATTATAGGCATGAGCCACCACGCCTGGCCAGGGTTGAACTCTTTTAAAGATTATGCACACTTGCATATGTGGCAAAAGAAAAATATAGGGAGGAAACAACATTCTCAACAGAAGTAGCTCTAGAGAAGGGAAAGTAGGAGCTTCTAACTTTTACTTTATGTACTTCTATACTTTCTAAATCTTTCATAATCTGCATGTATTACTTCCACAATTTAAAAAAATACCCAAGCTCCAGATTCATCCCTTGGAGATTCTGATTGTGTACGGTATTTGTATTTTCTTAAAAGTGCCATTGGTGGTTTGGCTTTACTGCCAAGTTTAAGAACCCCTATGTACTCTAGAAGGCTGTGGGCAAGGCTAATAAAAATATGCCCATGGATGACTCAAAGACACATTTCCCAGCCTCATGCACAAAAAGGAAAGGAAGAGATAGATATAAGGAGAGAGAGAGAGAGAGAGAAAAGGAGGACAATCCCAGAGCAAAAAGATATTAAGTGAGCTGGAAAAAAAAAAAGGAGGTTTAAAAAAGTTAAAACCAGGAGACTCTAATCCCAAGATCCTGCCCTAAACCACCTCATAGAATCCCTGGGCCTAGACAGAGATAATTACATACTAAGAAAATTTCTACCAGAGTTGATCTGTTAAAATAGATTCTTTTTTTTTTTTTTTTTTTGAGACGGAGTCTCACTCTATCACCCAGGCTGGAGTGCAGTGGCCGGATCTCAGCTCACTTCCAGCTCTGCCTCCTGGGTTTACGCCATTCTCCTGCCTCAGCCTCCCGAGTAGCTGGGACTACAGGCACCCGCCACCATGCCCAGCTAGTTTTTTGTATTTTTTTAGTAGAGACGGGGTTTCACCATGTTAGCCAGGATGGTCTCAATCTCCTGACCTCATGATCTGCCCATCTCGGCCTCCCAAAGTGCTGGGATTACAGGCTTGAGCCACCGTGCCTGGCAAAATAGACTCTTAAGTTATCGCCTTGATAACTTAGAGGACTGGAGAAGAAAGAACATCTGAACTCTGGATTACCTGTTGAAAGCAGGCTTGGACGAGGTTTTCAGGGAAGAGATTTCGAATAAGGTCCAGGAAGGCATCCAGGCTGGACACTTCATCGTTCTTCTTCCCAGGCCCCAGCTGCTGCTTGAGCTTGGGATTCCCTGGATGGATAGCCAAGACCAGAATGACCCCCAGCACTGCGGCGATGATGGTTGTGGACATGTAATACACCATGGCTCTTGTGCCCAAGCGGCCACTAGCCTTAGCATCCAGGCCTGACAACCCTGGATTGAAAAGAAATGCAGAAGGATTAATTCTATTACATTTGTGCTAATGACCTGTGTCTACATTTCCATGACATTGGCTTCATATTACTCAAATGTGTTAATGGTTGATTAAATCCCCTAGTGTAATCTTCCCTCAGTATCGATGAGGGAATTGGTTCTGGGACTCCCAACAGATACCAAAATCTGCAGGTCCTCAAGTTCCTTCTGTAAAGTGGTGTAATATTTGTATACAACCTATGCACATCCTCCTGTCTACTTTAAACCACCTCTAAATTATTTACAATACCTAATACAATGTAAATGCTATGTACATAATTGTTATACTAAATTTTTAAACTTGCATTATTTTGTATTTTTTATTAGTTTTTTTTCTCAAATATTTTCAATGCGCACATGAGGGACTCACAGATATGCAGGGCCGACTGGACTGAATATTTGGTCAATCCCATAGTTTATCATTCTATTTTCCGGGGAGATTTTCAAGATTTTACAGAACTGGGAGAGTTGGAGATTCTCCTGTTTAGAGTTTATGAATGGTCTGTGACAACATTTTTGTCAGTCTGCAATAATGAGTTAAAATAAAGTCGAAGACAACCCATTTTTAACTCTGAGATTATGTTCTTTCCACTTTTTTTTTTTGATCTTAACATATCCTTTCTTTTATGAAGCAATGCGATGGTGCTGGTACATGCTAGTTTTTAACTTGTTTATTTATTTACGTTTTAATGTCCTCACTTGGAAGACTAAAAAGTTAGTAGCTCTGTCCCACGCTCAAAATGTCTTTTGAATATATTACTGGTAACTGACATGGAGAGTCTGAGAATAAAGATTTCGCCCAGTCCTCTCATTTCTCCAAGGTGAAGCATGAAGATCCACGTTCCCAGCCTCAGGCAGGGATTAGGGAACACCCTGTGAAGCACCCTGCCAATGGTGGGCACTTCATCTATACCTAGGGAGGTTAGAGGAAATTCCAAGCAAATTAACAAAAACTCCAGCCCCACTGGGTTTTTTTCCAATTGTTTCTTCAATGTGTCCACTTCCTGGTTTCAGTTCCTGCTTTTATCAGAAAGAGAGATTGAACCCCTTTTTGGGGGTCAGTCCTTTTTGCTGTGGGGGAGGAAGTTAGTGATGTGAGCTGCTCTAAATTAAGCTGACCTACGTAAGAACGTACTTCTCTTTACAACCTAAAGTCTAATTCTAGCCAATGGAAGCTAGGTTTCCCCACCAAGTTGGCCAATGTATGATCTGTTAACAGGCCTAGAGAACATTTTATCTGGTTTAGAGAGGAGCATTCATGATAAATGCACCATTTCACTCAATCTAGCATTGAATGATAAGATCCCACTAAGCCCCTAAGTGCCTGATTCTGAGTTCCAGCATTTCGGGTACTGGGGTCACTGGTCAACCAGCTGAGGCTGTCTGACAACCCAGCTCAGCCCCTGAATCTCCTGGAGTGACCAGAGCCTTGCCAGTCCAGGGGGATAACTTCTCCAGATCACTTAGCTGGCTGGTACCCAAATTTGGACCAAAGCTTGGCTTCCTGCCCTTAACTCAGAGCTTAGTCTCCAAAGGGCACCAATTTATACCCTGTTTCAGCACTATTATTTGGTAAGGAGGAAAATATCAGTATAAGCCCACAGAGGAGGACCAAATTCTTTCAAATACAGTAATTAATTATTTTAGTCAAAAATAAGTGAACATGATGCCACATATTAGGAGTACCTTTGTTCTGAAAAACTCAGAGGACTTTCATACCTAGCATTTCATTTATTTTTAATGCCAACCTCCCTCTATTCCCGATTAAAATAGTAGAAAGTTTCCTTTTCCATTTATTACCTTTATCAGTATCTGGACAAAATATAATTTAGAATTGTGAGAAAAGTAGACATTAAAAATTAAGGCCAGGTATGGTGGCCCATGCCTATAATCCTAGCACTTTGGAAGCTGGTGAATCATGAGGTCAGGAGTTCGAGACTACCTTAGCCAATATGGTGAAACCCTGTCTCTACTAAAAATATAAAAATTAGTCAGGCATGGTAACACACGCCTGTAGCCCCAGCTACTCAGGAGGTTGAGGCAGGAGAATCGCTTGAACCCAGGAGGCAGAGGTTGCAGTGAGCCGAGATTGCACCACTGCACTCCAGCCTGGACAACAGAGGAAGATCCTCCATCTCAAAAAAAAAAAAAAAAAAAATTAAAACCACTAGAGGTATCATCACTTGTAACATGTGGCTGTGTTTCCTTTTCTTTTCTTTTCTTTTTTTTTTTTTTTTGCTGGAGAGAAAGACAAATAGACTTGACTAATTGATGGCAAGCTTTTATTTCTTTAGGGTTGATTATCCCCATTTCAGAGACAGGAAAACCAAAGCTCTGAAGTGAAATGACATAGACGATCACTTTCCCTCAACCAAATTGAGATTCTAGTCAATCCAAAAGCTGGAGCAGGAGTATGACCCATGTTAGCCAGGCACTAGTGAGGTCATCTTACCTGTGATTAAACTGGAGATGATTAGAGGGAGAATGAGCATTTTCAGCATCCTCATGAGAATATCCCCTGGGAAGGCTATTAACATAACCACATCAGGGTGGATGGGAGATGCCAAGCGAAGAAGCCCTCCACACACTGCTCCCAGGATGACACCTAAAAGGAAGGGGAAAACAATCTGAATTTATTTTTTGCCCTCGTCAAATGACTAACTCTAGACACTTATTTCAGCAACATTGACCTTTCTCATGCTTCTGCAGTATTAGATGATGAGCAATGTGTAACAAAAACAACATTAGATAAGTGAAGCTGATTTTGTTGACTAGCGAGAGGACTTTCTATCCCTCCAACTATTCTAAAAAAGTCAACACCCAAAGAGTCAAGGAGAACCTTCTCAAGGCTTTATGAAAGTGCACACTGGCAACTTGACTCCAACTTCTTTGAGGCTATTTGTCTACTTGGAGCCAGAAATTGTCCATAGAAATAAACCATAAGGGGCTGGGCCCAGTGGCTTATGCCTATAATCCCAGCACTTTGGGAGGCCAAGGTGAATGAATCACCTGAGGTCAGGAGTTTGAGACCAGTCTGGCCAAAACAGTGAAACCCCGTCTCTACTAAAAATACAAAAATGTAGCTGGTCGTGGTGGCAGAAACCTGTAATCTCAGCTACTCAGGAGACTGAGGCAGGAGAATTGCTTGAACCCGGGAGGCGGAGGTTGAAGTGAGCTGAGATGGCACCATTGCACTCCAGCCTGGGCAAAAAGAGTGAGACTCCATCTCAAAAAAAAAAAAAAAAAAAAAGAAAGAAAGAAAGAAAGAAAGAAAGAAAGAAAGAAAGAAAGAAAGAAAGAAAGAAAGAAAGAAAGAAAGAAAGAAAAAAGAAAGAGAGAACTCACAAGGACAGATATTGCTTCCTCACCCAGCCCAAGCTTGACCACATGGCATGGCATTTAACGTGTGTCTTCTCATTGTAACTGGAGTCCAGATGAAAAGAACATTTAATTGACCAAGCTAGTGTGAATTCTAATTTTTTCTTCCTATCTATTTTCTTTGGCTTCCAATAATTTCCCCATGGCTCACTCTCAAGGCTTGTCCTTGACTTCTGTGTCCTTTTACATAGTTTTTAGATTGCTGATCTTATGGGAGCTCAAGAATGGAGTCTAAAATATTTAATTTTGGAGGAAACAATTTAGGCAGAGATGCTGGCAGGGATCTTTCACTTTACAGACTCAGATCTCAGAAGAAAAATTTTAGATCTCTGCAAATGGGTGGCCAACATGAATGACTCTTGCAGAAACCACAAGTTGAGTCAGTACCACTGGCCATAACAGAGGGAGAGAGTTCCAGGAGTGCAGGCTACGGTGTTAATTCCATGGATGTAGAGGGAATAATGTGGCTGCAAGCCTGACTCTTTTTCTTCTGCAGGTGAAAATCATACTCTCCAACTTCTTCAAGTCCTGTGCTGAATTAGATGTGGTTACATGGTGGATAACCTTTGGAAAACCTAACCATGCCTGTGGTTTCTTATTAAGTGAACTTAGCTGTGGCGAGCTCCCAGTCCTGATCCTGGGCCACTGGCAACCAAGGCATCTATCTCAAAGGAAAGGCCATGGAATAGAGGGGTTCAGGTGGGTGTGTGTGGGTGAGTGGGAAGTTGTTCATTGCTTCTCTGTGTAACCTACGTGAGAGCTGAAGAACAAGGGAGGGATTGAAAAAGGAAATGGTGTGGTTGTCATTATAAGAAACTGTATCTTGCCCCATTTTCAATAAACCCTCATGGGAAACTTAAGACCAAGATTGTATCAGCAGCCCGAGAACAACCATCACCTGGGTGAGGCCTGAAGCAGAGTAGGAGGACTTGCTAGATGGAGCTGGATCAGATTAAGGCATTGGGGCAAACATCTTCCACACTGACCTCATTAGCCAATGTGCCCAAATTACCTAAATTAATGATGTGTCTGGAGAAGCTCAGACCTTGGGAGCCATTTTAGTGTGGTTTTGTGCAATACTTGGGCTTATCTTGATGCAGGTGGTTCTCTTAACATGGTCCATGGACCACTGCTTTGGAACTGCCTAGAAGGTTTGATAATATGTAGACTGCAGGGCCTCATTTCAGATGGCCCAAAGCAAAGTCTCCATGAGTATAGGAATCCACATGCCAACATTCTCACAAGATACTTACTTGCAAAAAATTTAAGAACTACTAGAATCCAAAGGAGAATGAATGGCTAGAGGAGGTAAGGAGGAAAATTATATCACTGAAGCCTGGGCAGACAGGGCCCTAGGCAAACCATGTGGCTTCCTTTCTGGTGGAACGGCTGGCTGCTGAGACCAGCTGCCCCATAGAGCCAGGAGAGTCCCAGAGAAGAAGGGACTGGGGGTGGGGTGGTGCAGGTACCTACCAAACACCGTCAGAGTGAGCAGGAGATTCTTCCCCAGCTTGTCACACAGGCGCAGGCCCAGGTGCCGGTGCTTGGGTTCCTCCGAGCTGAGGTGACTGTCGTGCATTCGCACTTCCACCTGCTTGGGCATATTGTTGGCACTGGAACAGAAGTGAAGGCAGAGATTAGAGAGACTGGCACCTCCCCTATACAGTTTCAGGGGCTAGATGAGGAGGAACCTCTCCAGGCACAGTTGGAATCTGGAACCATCTGCAGGAAAGTAAAAGTAAGTGCGACTCAGGGTCACCTATAAGCAGGACAGTAGGACACACTGAGAACTGATGTGGATCCTCGCAGTAAAGGAAAGGAACACTACATGCAATGGTAGGGTCTTCCAAAGAGTTGCCCCCCATGGTAACTTAGGGAAGGAAGTTACCATGTTACAGAGCCTTTACTTGAATCTTGACCAAGGTTGCAAAGGCTAAAATAAATAGAGATCCAAATCCAGATAGGTCTGGCTCCAAAACCTGAGCTATTTTGTTCTTGTAACAACAGCAAAAAGGTGAGTCATACTTGAGTTACATCAACTTTAAAATGTCTCCAAGCTCAAGCCTTCCCCATCCTGACATGTGAAAGTCACAAATGTTGATCATCCAAGCTTTACCTCTTTTTTGGAAAAGATAGTTTATATAGTAAAAAAAAAAAACAATCAACCTATTGTGATTGTGGCTTTTAAAAGGTCACCTACATTATCAAGACTACTAAACTGGCCAAGAGCTAATACCACTTAGAATCTAGAAGTATGGTTTTAAGAAGTATTTTGATCACCTCCAGCTATGGTTGCAGTCAAGCCCTTTTCTGGGTAAACCCCAGGTAAGCCTAAGCCATCCTGGGAGTCTGCCCAAAGGAGCCCTTGCTGGGGTAATGGGCATATTCTCCGTCCTCAGCTTTGTCATTTCCCTGGCCAATAATATTCCAGATGTAAGCTTGGGGATTGCCATAGGGAGGCCAGTTTTTCACTTTCATATCTTAGGACATTTTTTAGCTGCTGTTTACAATCACCATCATTTGATAAAAGAAAAAAAAAATAAGCCTTTCACACCTAGAAAGAGAGGTGTCTCTGAACAGACGACAGTGCCTTCAAGACAGGGAGGTGTTGCCCTTATCCAGATAGTCTTGTCATAGACTGGAGAAAATTTCCTTTGGAACCAACACCAAGCTGCAGACCAGTGTTTTGAAATAACTGGTTATAATGGGAATAGTGCGGGTTTTGGAGCCAGAGGGCCTTGGCTTCAAATCCTGACTCCAACTCTTGCTAGTTATGTGGGGTGTAGAAAGAAAAGCCTGATGCTTACTTCATAAAAGTTAAACAAAAATATGCTAACAAAGTACCTTTCTCCAGTGTACACAAAGAAGAGACACTTAACACCCATCAACTTCATGACAAGGATGACATTTTGTTCAGGGGGCTTACCCACTTGCCCTGCCATTCCAGCAAGATACCAAGACCTAAGCTTCCAGTCTCAGAGTTAAGACCTGGAACCCAAATACAACTACTTGCTTTTTCATAACAGGCTGCCTAATATACTCGCTACCCAAATGTTTTAAAATTAGGAATAACGTTGCATGATCAGATGAGAATGTTAGTCAAAATATAAGCTTCTTAGTCTCCCCTTAATGGCTGAATTTTCTACTCATCTAGTTAATTTCTGAGGCAACTTCTGGTTTCCTGACATATGTGTGCACTAACAATCCCTCAGACCGTCTGAAAAAGAAAATAGGGTATGACTGCCCACAGCAGGTGGGTAAGGGCCTTTCTGATCAGTGAGCAATAAATACCACTTCCTCCTATCACCAAGTGAAACAGACAGAAAATTCACTTTACAACACAGCAGGGGGAAATGATCAAAATGATCTTTTTAACATGGATAGACCATATTTCTATGTTTACAGTGGGATCTTTTTCCATTTTTAAACATGTCTCCAGCCAGTAATATGAAGCTCTAAAGCAGGAAATGTCGAACAAAGAATGGAGGTAGTATGTGTTCTGAAATGGTGAATGTATTTCCTTAGCCAGCTCTTCGCCAAACTCTCCAGTCCCCTTGAGATCATTAATCTCCTTGCCTTCTGCTTCATTTGAATCCCTCCTGCCATTGAAATGAGAATCAGGCACATGGTTGGTATTCAAGTAAAACTAGGAAGTATTTAAAGCAACCATTCTGGCAAGATCCATATGATGTAATGGAAGTGTCAGGCATCAAAACAGCCATGTCAAAGTGAAAACTCACAAACATTAGGTTAGCATACACACCCAACCCGGCAACATGGTTGGATGCCTGTGCCACACATTTCTTTGTTGTACAATATTGCTGCCTCTTTAATGGTTTGTTTTTTAGGCCATAACAAAATGTCCCTGAAGTCCTGAATCAAAATAGCCACATCAAAGTGACTACATCAAAATACTGTAAACCCACAAATATTTATTGAGAGAATTTCCGTGAGTTGCCCTCTTGGAATTAAACAGATATGGAAGACTTGTAAGAGTCCCTGATGCTTGCACATAGAAAATAATTTTAAAGGTAATTCAGGGACTCATCTTGCAGCTGGAAACACAGAGAGTCCCCCAAGAACTCTCTGTAAAAATTCTGACTAATCTAAAATTTCCAACTATTCTAATTAGTCTAACTAATCACTACATCTCCCAGAACACAAAGAGAGACTGACATGGGAATTATCACATAATATAGCATGATTATATAATGTATATAGAATATTATATAATATAGAGCTGCTTCTAAGCCTATACACCTTTAGAATAAGATGTAAGTTTTTAAAAATGTGTTCACACAAACAGCTATATAAATGCTGATTGCAAACACACCTGGTAACAGTGACAATAACAGGGATAACTTATATTTATTGAGTGTTCTCTATGTGTCAGATACTATACTCAGTAATGGGTATGGTACAATCTTTACTCTTAAAGAGCCTTTATTCAGAGAGAAAACATAAAGCACGTTGTACTGTAATTGTCTGCTTTATGTACAGGCCCTGAGCAAGCTTGCAAAGGAGTCTATGGGAAATCATAAGAACAATGCCTAACCCAGGTTCAGGGAAGAGGAAGGGATGTTCAAGAAGGGGTTCCAGAAGGGGCCAAGACCTGAGTCAGCTCTTGAAGGAAGGATTTAATTTAAATGCCTACATTCTCCACCAGTCTATGAACCCCAGGAGGGCAAGATTGTGATCTTTAACACCTAGTACTGAGAGCTTAATCAATGTTTGCCAAGAGAAATTGAGAATTGAAAAGTAGCTCTAAAATGGCCCCTTGCTTGCCCCTGGGAATAAGGCCCTTCTGCAGACAGACTGGTAGCATGCCACTTCAGTCAGATTCTGACCATTCTTGCATTTATTCCACAAATTTCTAGTGGGCCCATATTACAGGCCCCATACTGTTGTCAATGTTAAAGATATTGCAATAAACAAAAAGAGCCCTTGATATCATGGAGTGTGCACTTTAGTGAGAGAACAAATACATAGATATATACATTTTAAGTAGTGAGAAGTGCTGGGAGGGGGGTTGTATTAGTTCATTCTCACTCTGCTAATAAAGACATACCCGAGACTGTGAAATTTACAAAGGAAAGAGGTTTAATTGACTCACAGTTCAGCATGGCTTGGGAAGCCTCAGGAGACTTACAATCATGGTGGAAGGGGAAGAAAATGTGGCCTTCTTCGCATGGTGGCAGCAAGGAGAAGTGCCAAGAAAAAGGGGGAAAAGCCCCTTATAAAACCACCAGATATCGTGATAACTCACTCACTATCATGAAAACAGCATGAGGGTAACTGCCCCCATGTTTCAGGTATCTCCCACGGAGTCCTTTCCAAGACACATGGGGATTACGGGAGCTACAATTCAAGATGAGATTTGGGTGGGAACACAGCCAAACCATATCAAGGGTGAAGGAGAAGGATAGCAGTGTGTGGGGAGGCAGCGTGATTTTGTATCAAGTGTCAGGGGAAGGCGTCTATGATGAAGGGACATTTGAATAGAAACCTAGAAGAAATGAGGGGTCTCCTCAAGTATTTTATGCAATTTGTCTAGAGCTTAGCAAATAAATGGAACATACACAATTTGGAAATCTGTCTTACTACCTAGATCCCAAAGCTCCCACCCAGATGCACACCCTGGGGTCCACGTGTTGATTTTTACATGGATTCAAATGAATATGTAATAAGTAATACTGGGTCCTATCACCATCATGAATATTATGAGGGTGTAAATGACTATCCCAGCTCCCCCTAAGAGAAACAGTTACCAGGAAAAGGTGAGTTGGATATAGGTGGAAAGCCTAAGGTCACAGCAGCCAGCAGATTTGCTCCCATGGCAATAAGCAGAAAGTGCCAACTCTGGTCTGGGAAGTCCATCGGATACACAGTAAGCTGTCCAGTGTGCACACTTACCCCTTTACTAATAGTCCCTTCCTACATCCTGTGGCTGTGCACACAGAACAAAGCAATAAAACCCAGGTGGGATTTGGGTCCACCAAATCCATCAAGGCTAGTGCTCTCTGACACTGCCTGCCATCCGTGTTTCTACTTGAGTGCCTCCTGAATGGAGGAATATTAGCAATGCAATGCCTTAATGTTGGAAGTTCCAGTGCGCCAACTCAGACCGATCTCTCGAATGGCCTCCACTGCCCAACAAAGTAAGGCCATGTGGTGGGACAGCTGTTGGGGGATAATTAAAAACTTTTAACAATGAGCCTATAATTTCCTTCAGCCTTAGCCTCTCCATTGAATTATTTAAACAGCTGTTAATTTTGCAATCCTTGCCCAGTTCTTTCTCATGCAAATCCACGTGAGTCCTGTTTCAAGGCAAGCTCAGCTTATCGTGCAAATCATCCTCTGTGACTCAGAAGGGAACGTGTAATGGGGCTAACGCTAAGTTTTAAACTATTCTCAGAACCTGCTTTTCATTAGCATTCAATTTCTCTTGCTTTGCCAAGAGCCTCTAATAATAGGCTCATTAGATGTGGTGTTGGATTCAGATTTCCTGCAGCACACTTCAGTGTCGCCTTAGCTGGCACCAAACTCTTTTTTCCACCTTCACTGATTTGATGAGGTGGCAACAGAACACTCCCCAGGGAGCCTAAAAGCAACT